AGCTGCTTTTAATTCTATCAGCTTTAAGCTTAATTCTGCCTTTGTGTTTCTTAACTCTTGAGGATTATTCAGCCCTTTGAACTGATTTCTGACATGCTCTGTGTGAGGTACAGTGGTATCTGGAGAGATTGAGATGAAAGATCTCTTAAACTCTTTTTCTAGCTGGGCTGTAACACACAGAATTTCATGGGTGTTTGGGAAGTCAGTGATAAAGCTCAGAATTATCTCATGTCCTAATGTCCAAGCTGGAAATAAGAGAAGCCCCACTGTCATTCAGGTGCAGTAGATCTTAAAATGTAATTCTGAGCTATGAATTCTCATACAACAAAACAACTGCTAGGCTTACCCAAATCCTGTTATTTTGGCACCTTTTATTTTTTTTAGGATCTAAAAAACTTAAGCTTTAAAGACAAAACTCAGCTCGGAGGAGGAAAGGAAATAGCCACTTTTTTAAACTCTTTCAGCTTCACCCCGCCCCACCACAACAAAGCTCTCAGGAAATCACTGTGCACTGATTTCTGTATTTAATGGTGAGAGCAGAGTCAGCACCAAAGTTGTCAGCACGCACAAAATGTTTGCTGGAAATATACATTCTCAAAGTGCAAGAATTCCAGAGCAAGAAAGCTCCTGCCTCAGTCCTTTCAGATAAGCTTAATATTTCAGTGGTTGCAGTATTTATTTCAGGTGTTCATTATAAGGTTGGAACAGCAGTTTTTGGACAAATCACAATTTCTCTCAAAACTTCAATGTTGGGACTTCAGATAATTTTAAAGTTTTGGCTTCCCTGAATATATGAACCCCTGTGTATTGAGTTCAGTTTTCTGTAGTTCTCAGCATGGGATATGCATGCACATATAGGAGGAATCTCGTATGCATAACCTAGAGGAGATCCCTTTTTCCTTATCTTGCTGCCAGGCAGAAGCCTTCACTGACCCCATTCTCTGCTGGGTGTTCCCTACTGATACACCAAGGCAAACAGAAAGGCTCCCTGGACCATCCAATATGCCGAGGTAGCTGCAGTTGCCTCAGATCTGAGGGGTGACCTCTGAAGCCTCGTTCCTGGGGAGGATGCAGCAGAACAATCTCATCCTTGTTGGCATTCATCTCAACCCTGCGCCGCGTCTCTCCTTCCCCCGTGCAGCACAGCCCCCGCACAGGCTCACAAAGGGCTGCATTCATCAGGGACCAGCAACTGGGTACAATCCTTTTGAAAGACAACAGACCCTGCCAGCTCTACCAGCCTTGGTTTAAAATGTTCATCCTTCCTCGCTTACTCAAGCCCAGGGCTACCTTGGCTGACTCTCGTGCTCGTGGAGGGGTTGGAGGGCCTAAGGACCCACTGGGGTGGTTCCATGGGATGGGGAAAGGGCTCCCTGGGTCAGCGAGTCCTGCTGAAGTGGTTACATGTTGTGTGGGAGCTCACTGACTTGTGTCCCAGGAGCTGTTTAGTTTCATGCCCACACTCCTCCCACGGACAAGCTGCTGCTCAACCTTGCTGCTCTGGATGGGGTGAACCTTCTTTGCATTTCCAGCCTCAATTTATTCATGGTTGGTTTGCTCTCATTTGTTCCCGTGCCAGCACTGGCCATTAGCTTAAAAAGCTCTCCCCAGTGCTGGATTTGGTCATCTCAGTGTGTGTGCAGGGAACAAGCAGCTCCTTGTGGCTTCCATTTACAGAGGATGAGACCGAAGCTGCTTTAGTTCTCCCGTTGCAGAGAGGAAATGCTCAGTTCTCCCCATTGCTTCTCCTGGGCTAAATAAACTGAATTTGCCTGCGGAGTCATCCCAGGCCAGGCCAGGAGGGATCAGGGATCCCAGGCCAGGCCAGGTGGCAGCCTAACAGAGCCTTGATGCCAAGGATGTATCTGCAGAAGAAAAGACTGAGATGGTCGTGGTGGTGCAGTCAGTCAGGGAGAGGAGAGATCCCAGTGGCCTTGAACTGGAGCAAGAATTGATTGTGATGGTGATGTGAAAACACTGCAGCATAAAAAAGTGAGCACGTGCTTGACACCTATCTATCATTGTAGAGAGTGGGACTGCCCTGATGTTCCTTGTCTCTCTTGCACATCTCTGTGTGTTCTACATTCTGTTCCATGTCCCACCTCTCCTGCTGCCACTCTCCTTCTTCTCTTTCTGAGTCTTTGACAGTCTTATTCTGGACTGTTCTGGGAGGCTTATCACAACCTAGCAAGGTGATTGCTTTCCCAAAAGTCATCCCCAGCAACCACCAAATGCTCTGAAGGCAGCCTAGGAAGTTTAAGCTGCTAGCTGTGCTTACAGGCTGCAAGGTGTTTTATGTGGGCTTCTGTTTGCCAGTGAAGTGCCTCCCACTTTTACCAAGATCCAGAAATCTTCAGGATGTTCCCTGAAATTTTGGCTTAATCTAAAAGCATGTCTGAAATTAATTGTATGACACCCAATGAAACACAGGCCATCAGTTCTAGTGCACAGAAATACAGTTTTGGAGCCCATTTCCTGTAATTCCGACCCCTGTGCAACCCTGGCCCTCTCAGACTTGACAAGGTAAATCAGCTCCTCCCAAATTCCTCCTGTCTCCCCATCTTGCATTCCCTTTCACGCCTTTCATGAAACCCAGCAAGAGCCAGCCCCCAGTGGAGGTGGTTTCTGTGGCAACTCTAGAAGTCACCCTTCGAGTGATCCAAGAACTCTACATCTTCCCACTGGGAGGAGCAGGCACCTTAAGGAAAGCCCTGATGGACAGTCATAAATTGCTGTGTGTTTCCGTAGCTCCCGTGGCTGCCTGGGAGATGCATTTGTCACCTAGCAACGACATAAGGTGATGAGGAAATAACAGCATGTTAATCTAATGGCCATGAGTTAACATCTATCAGGGAGCAAGTCCTCCAGTGTCCACCAATGAGCTGAATGTAATTGAGGAGGAAAGAGATACCCAACTTTTCACCCAGTAAGTGGAGGAGGAGTGAGCAGAGGTTATCTTCATGTGTGTGTGTAAATGTATCTCCTCATGGAGGGATGACAAAATCCCTGGAGAAATCCCTCAGGCAGGAGCTAGCCCTCGGACACAGAGCTATCCAGAAGATGGGTCTCACTTTTGCAAAACCCGAAGGCAGCAGTGCCCCAGCAGGCAGGGAGCAGCAGGAGGGTGCCAGCTCACCGTGAATTTCAGTGCAAAACCCCTCTGGGTTTTTGGTGACCAGTCCTGACTCTCTTAGAGCAAATGCTGAGGTTCTTTATGACATTCATGTATTCAAGCTGCTCAGCTGATCGTGGACAGGGAGAGTTTTCCTGCTGAAACAGTGATTCTTTTCAGTATTGGTGTCACTCCTGAAGCAAAAGACTGGGCTATTCATGGACCCCCTTTAAGCCAAACCTCTCTCCTCTTGACATCATTATAGAGAGTGCAGGACAGGCTTCACAAATTGCCATCATCCCTTGGAATCCCTGTATGGGTCCAACCAGCAGAAAAGATCAGAGTTTGCCTCAAGACCAGGCACTGAATGGTGATAGAATTCAATTCTTTCCCTTTTCTTCTGGAAATAGATCCAGAACAGATGCTATGTGTTATTTTTCAGTACCAGGAGCTCATTGAGGTACCTGCCCCCAGAAATACTGGGGTTGATCCATTTGGCGGCTCTAAATTGAAAGTACCCTGGGTGCTGACATGAGGGAAGTAATTGTGAGAGGAAGAAAACTGAAATTAGTTCAATGATGGATGACCTCATTGAAGCCTGAAATTGTAAGAGTCACACAGTTCCCAGCAAGGCTGTGCACATTTTTATACTGCAGGAGCTTTTTCTTTAAGAAAACAGCTAAGAAATTGGTTTGGCAATTTACTGTTGAGCAGCACTGAAAAGGATTGGTCTGAAGCAGGACAGCATGTTCAGACCATTTATTTTGTGTAGCACATGCACTTAACACCATCATGAGAGATGCTTTCTCAGCGAGCATCATTTCAGGGGCTCGCCTTTCATTAGTGCTGAGCTGAAAGTAAACATTAGAGAACACCAGGGCTTGGCCTGGGTTTATGCAAAACTTGAACACTAAATAACAAACCCGTGTTGTGCATGTATATCACAGCTGGTTAGACTTCTTGACCTTTCAGCCGAAGCAAAGCCTCAGAGGTACATCTCAAGAGCAGCTTGGCTTTGTCAATCATTACAGAAGTAATGGCATCCCAACATAATGCTTAACTCTGGAGTGACAGCTAAACATATTCATGGCAACACCCTTTGTGTTAAAATCTGGAAGAACCACAGTTAATGGTGCATTTCAGCCACGGGCTGTAAACTTCGGTGACAACCTATTACTGACTGCTGAACAAACTGGGATTGTCCCTTCCAAGGGGATCAGAGCTATGGTGCAAACCATCCTCTACCCCTGTTTAACCACATCACCTGGATGGCTCTATAGGAATTGAACATGCAGTGAAATTTTGTGTCCCTTGTAAGAAGCATTGGGGATGTATGGGGTTTTTTCAGCTGCATTTTCCTGGTAAACCCTGACAGCTGCATAACAGAAGTAATGGTGCTGGTGGTGGGTGTCTCGGGCTGGGAAGGGTTTCTTTCATCCTTGGTGCAGGTTTGAGGTGGTAGGCACATTGCACAGGACATGGTTAGAGCTACCTCTGTTTTTTCTGTAATGCCAATATTCCATCTGAAGGCAGCATGCCAGGAAAGTGTGGCCCCACTGCACAGACACCAGTGACTCTGTTTGTAGCAGGTCCTGTTAAATGCAGCCGTGGGTTAATATGGAACTAAGCCTCAGCAGCAGGAATTTGTGAACAGCTAGGAAAATACCGAAACAACTGCAAGGTGCTGACCTTAAACCAGTGTTCCTTTAACTTCTGGTAGCTGTTTGTGCCCCTGCAAACCCAAGTTCGCTCCCTGGCTAGCGGTAATTTCTGAGGCGCAGGAAGCCATTGGGTAACGTGTTCTCTGGCTGCAGGCATGATGTGCAGAGAAGTTTTAAAAGCACCAAATCACAGAGGGTAAAACACTGCAGCAAACAAAGCTCTTCCAATGTTTCTCACACTAATGATGCAGAGACCTGGATCTTTGTGTTTATCTTCATGGATCACAGCAGGAACTGGAGTTCTATGTCTAACCTTCTTCCAGGTAACCAAACCCTTCACTGGGACCAGGCTGATTTTAGGGACTTATGTGGGGCGGGGGGGAAGGTTCCAACTTTTGCAGAATTTAGTCATCAGCTTTCTTTTTTATTATTATTATTTTGTGAAGGATTTTTTTGAGGATTTAATGAATGTGGGGAAGACTTAATGCTCACAAAAATTCCAATTAGTGCAGAGAAAACACTACTGCCTTTGTACTTTATTCTGTCTCTGGCTATTGAAATGGAAGAGCTTGGGGCTTCAGCAGCACGGGTGGGTGTTTGGCTGCTGTGACAGATTCCTGCCTCAGAGCAGATGCACTTTGCTGCAGTTTAACTACGCTAAGGTGGCTCTGCTGAGCTGGTTTGGAGGATGATAAAAGAGAGGCCAGAGGTTGTCATTCAGCCATGAAGAATACTCAGGACACATGTAATCACAGCAATCAGCTATCTGCTTTTGACCTGTTAATTAATAATCAGTTGAAATGCAAAAAAACCCAAAGGAATTAAAATATTCTGCATCAGAGTGCATGTGTGACGTGGCAAATTAGCTCAGTTTTAAAAGGACACATCTGGAAGAGTTGAAGCTTCTGTCTTTTTCTCTATTCCTCATTTGGATTTCAGCCACTCATGAAATTTCTCAGACAATGCTTTATATGAAAGACTTAATATACCCAAAGACCTCTGGAGAAACTAGGGATGGAAAGGCAGTGTGTGCACAGGATCAGACACATTATAGAGATCTGATAGGGGATTTCTTGCTGTTTACAGTGGCTTGAGCTTTGCATAACAAAAAGAACCTGTTAATTAGAGATTTTAAAAGAGATTTTTCAGTTATGTATGTTTGATATAAATTTCTAGTTCAGAACAGAGCCTTCCAGTTTGACAAAAATCTCGAAGTGTTTTGAATATATGCAGAGGGAAATCCAAAGTAATTATTTACAAATTACATTCTAATAGTTTTTTTTCTGAGAAACAAATCTAAATTCCTCTATCTTGTTCATTCTGCTTTCCAGTGTTATCACAATTCTATACCTGATTTGAATTTTTTTGTAGCAACATTGGGCAACTGTAATAACACACCTAACATCAGTCAGCCAAAAGAATCTATTGAATTGGATTCAATTATACTGATGAACTGCTCTGGTTACTTTTTGCACAGATAATATGAAACTGAGGCTAAGATCAACAAGGCTTGCAAAAATAAACTGGCTTAAGCTGAGAATAGAAAATATACCTGAAAAACAAGTTTGAGGTTCGCATATTTGCAATACGTGAAACCTGACTCTGGGAATGATGCACCACTACTATCTGAAAACAGAAAAATGCTGGGTAGAGCACACTTCTAGTCAAAACAGTTCCAATTTACTACTGCATTCACAATTAGCTCCAAAAAAAAAAAAAAAAAATGAACCACAGAACAAGAATTTGGTTATGGGCACTTTCAGCAGGCATTTCTGAATAGCAAAGCCCAGTGCAGCAAGCAGGTCTCAGACTCCAGCTGGTGTTTCCCTGCTCTTGTCTTTCCCTCCTTCACATCAAAAGGAATGCTTTCTCCTTGGCCTAGCTTTCATCTGCAAGCTATTGAATTTATTGAATTTATTGAGCTCTTGGTGAGGTTCTCTGCTGGATTTGATTTGGGCTGGCTCAAAGCAGAGCCCCACAGAGGCAGATCCCAAAGGAGAGGTCTGGTTTCAGCCCTGCAGGATCAGCACTCCTTTTGCTCTTCCTCTCAAACTTCCCACTCTAAGAACAGTAATTATACTGGTAAATTGTAAAAAACAAAACATACCTGCCCTGTCTGATTTACATGTGTGTTTTCAGTCAGCAGACTCTGGGTCGGACTGTGAGCTGGGCGAGAGGTGAGTGTGGCTTCATTCTCTCCCCCCGGCTGCCCCCACCTCAGGCTCTTTCAGGGGTGCTCTGCTCCTGCCTGGCACACCAGCACAGCAGAGGAACGAGGACCTCCAGGAAAAGGCCATTTAGGGTTGGTTGTTTTTTTCCAAAAAAGGAAATAGAGGCTGGCAACCCTTTGGGTTTTCAGCAAAAACGCTGGTGTCGGGTGCCAGTGTTGAAAGGCAAACAAGTGGCACTCTGCTTCTTGCATCATCTGCCTTGCTCCCATCCACACAGAGAAATTTTTAATGGGCTCCCTTCATGGAAGAAAACCTCTCAATCTTCTACTTGCTGATGATGGTGCTTGTCTTTGTGTTGGTAGATGTGCTGGGGTGGGTACAGCAGCCCCCTCACACTGGACTGGAAGTCCTTTTTATTCTTCCCTTTTTAGGTGTGTTGGACAGAGCGATGGAAACTTTAGCATCTGGTATGTGTGGTAAGTTTCAGATCTGTTTTAAGGGGAAAAACTGGCAAATAATATTCTTTGATGTATATATGGAGAGAAAGGCATTAAGAGAGACTGATAGCTAGAGAGCATTGCTCCTGGGCTGTCCCTGTGTTCTGTCTTTACAAACTAATGGAAATCATTTATCCATATCCTCCTCACTGTACGCTGACAACTGAGCTGGGAAAAAATGATAGATTGTGTCAGGGAGAAATGTTTGAATATCCAGCCAGCACTGGCTGCTGAGCACTCAGGAGTGAGACATTGGTTTCTGGGGACTTTGATCATGTCCATCGTGCTGGTGGGGGAACCGCAACATTTAACGGCAATTTGCAAAAGATGTTAATGAATATGTTAATTTGAAGACGTGCAGCCATCTGTCGGTGCTGCCCGCAGATGGTGACAGTACTGTTCCTCCCCTGCTGCCTCTGCCTTAGGTTCCTGGTGCTGTTTTTGCTGGCCGTGCTCCTGTCCTGCGGGATCTGCTGCTGCCTGCAGTGCTGGCTGAAGCGGCGGAGCTGCCGCCCCCGACGCACCGTGGCTGTCTTTGCCCTCAGCAGCTCGGATGCCTTTTGTGGTTAGTCCTGTCCCTGCTGCAAGGTCCTGCTGGCCCTGGTGGCCTTCCTGTGGCCCATCCATAACCCAGTAAAAAGCAGTGGGCTTGGGAGGTGGGATGCAGCCAGGGGCTGTATTGCTGGTGAACAGAGGGGCACCCAGCTCTGGCAACTGGGGGACATGTCCAGACCATGGACTGGGGGGCTGAAGCCACATCCACTTTTCACTGAGCCATACCTTGGTGCTGTCCCTGTGTGTCCATGTGTCCCAAAGGTGTCTAGCTGGGGCTTGGCCAGGCAAACACTGGAGGTGTGTGGGACTTTCTCCTCAGTGCCAGACCACTCAGTGATCTAAGCCATTGGGACAGCCACAGGCTCTGGGGTCAGACAGCCCTTTCCAACCTGTGTCCTTCATTTCTCACTCAGACAAAACTGTACTGGTCTAACTCGAGCCACCCCAGTACAGCTTGTCTGGCTTACACACCCTGCTCTGTCAAAAGATTGTCCTGGTGGGTGCTATTCACTGTGGCAGCCACCCTCATTCCCCCAGGAGCACCCAGATTTTGAGGACTGGGCTATAATGAGTGTGTAGCAACCAGAACTGATCTGGAGTATGGCCAGCAGCATCAGCAAGCTGAGCCAGACAACATCCCTCCAAGAAAAATAAAGCTAATCCTGTCATTAGGCTAAGCCCTTCCCAGAGGACATATTACCTGCTTTCTGGGTGGTCATAGACAGTGTCTCCACAGGGAGGACCCACCCAAACCCACCCAAATTCCTCTGTCCCAACTTCTTGTATCTGTAGTTTGTGGTGAAACACTTTGTGATGCCATCCTTCAAAAATTGCATCCATGACTTTCTTGTTTCCAAGTGGTTTGGCAGCTCCTCCTGGGCTCACCCCTCTCACTCCCACGCTTGCCCTTCACGCCTGTCTGCTGTACAGTTGTGACTTTGCTTTTTCCCCAGCTACTGAAGCACCTCCGTGCCCATCCTCTGGATCCCTGAGCCCCTGCATGACTGCAGAGAATCCCTCTTCTCCTGCCCCATGCATCAACCTCGGGGGAACTGAATTGCCTCCATCTTATGAGGATGTTGTGAAGGAAAACAAGGTCTAGACACCACATGTTGGCTTTCAGTGATCCTACTTGGTTCATCAGAGATCTTCCATCGTGCCAAAGGAGCGTGAGATCAAATCAGCCTTTTCCACAGGTTGGCCGAGAGACTGAAAAGCAGCACACATTTCATCTGAACCTGAAAGATGAGACTAAATGCAAGAGAATAAATGCCAAAAGTATGTGTTGAATCTGTCACAGGAGTTCAGCTTGACATTTTGATAACTCTGGATTTCAAAAAGCTTCCTCAAAGGCCTGTGTGCATTTGGGGTTTCTGGCTCAGCCTCTAGATTTATCTCTCTAAGGCTGCTTCAGCTGGTGCAACCCCATGTATTTTAGGACCAAATGTTGATAAATGACTTGGTAGTTACTTCTCAAGCTTGGGCTGCCTCCTTCACTCGGCACTGTGCCAAGAAACACCCTCTGGCAAAGTCATGCTGTTCTAATACATTGCAATGCAATCATGCCACTCTGTGATGAAGGATCGTTTGCCACATTTAAAATATTTAGCACAGCATATCAGATTTGTCTAGTGCAAAAGGCAGCAAATTTATGGCCAGGGAAGAGAAAACAAGAGACAGGGATTATGTAGGAGTAGCAGTGGCAGGAGCTGGTTACAGAGCCTTAAAAAAATGTGAGTTTGCTCATTTGAGCTGTTCTTAATTTCATGACTGTTCTCAGCTACTCTTGCCCCAGCACTGCAGACCAGAAGGCTTTGAATGACCCAGGACCCACGTGGAAGTTCTCCACAGACATGAATTAGGGGCTTAGGTACTTAGTACTACAGAAACCTATTAGGATAAAGAATGCCTTTTTTTTTTTTTTTTTTTTTTTGAGGTGATCACTGAAGAGAGGATGGAAAAATACTTTAAGAAGCCATCCAGACTGCCTTGTGCCCAAGCAGGATCAGCTCCACCAAAGTCATTCCTTGGAGGTATTAGCCTAACTAGTTCTCAAATTACTGAAGGAAGATGCTGAGTTTTTCCCTTAGCTGGGTTCCAGATGAAAGCAGAGATTCCCCTTTATTTGTGGTGGGCAGGTCACTGAAGGCTGAATTCAGCCTGCCTGACCTCTCTGCCTCTGCTCTGTAAGTGGCAAGGGCAGGGGGTGCAGTCAGACCTGTGCTGCTGCAGGAGGTAACACCAGCCTGGTCCCATGCTCTGTACTCCCATGGAGCCATGAGCCCAGTCTGGGCAGCTGGGTCCATCTCGGATTAGAATCCCAGAAGATTAATGGGAGCCCACAGCCTGCCTCATGGAGCACCTCCCCACCTGTACAGTGAGGTTAGCACCAGTTCCTGTGCTCAGGAAGGAAACTGGGAAGATAAATGCACTAGAGGTTATCATATTCTCATAATGATTCTATGTAAGTACATTTGCTAGATAAAGAATGGGAACATATTTTGAGAAAAAATAATTTGCCAAAACCACTGCAAATTATCTCCCTAAAATCTTATTTTAGAAGCAGCTTTAATGTTTGACACTTGTGTGAAAGGAAATAAATGTCACTTGTAGCCAAATGAATGTTTGTGCCAGCAGGCTAAAATATTACTGGGTTTATTAATAAGGAAAATTAGCGAGTACAGACTCAGCCAGGGGAGAAATCAAGCAACTTCTGAGTGTCCTTTTGCTGGCTGAACTTAGTAAGAATTGCAGGTAATCAGCACCTCACAGGATCAGATCTTTCATGTACATAACTGCTTCCACCATTCAACCCCTTCAATTTATGCCCTGAAGCATGAGATTTGATTATGTTTGTCACTGCAGCTTGCATAGCCTGTTAGTGGGCATTAAATCAGCTGTCACTTGATTCCCACCTACACACTGTTAGCTTCAGTGACCCCTCCATGGCAGAGAACTCCACAGGTTGTCTGCATTATGTGCTGCATAAAACATTACTGCCTCCTGCTTATTAATGGCTTGGCTCTAAATAAATTGCTGCCTTTAATTTCACTGAATGTCACCTTCTAATCAGATGGCTGGAGAGGCTAACAAGCAAGGACTGCTCAGGTTTCAAGGCCTCCAGTCCCTCTGCATCCCTCTTTCTCGAGGACCAGTGATTCCCGAGGTGCTAAATCCTTCCCCAGCCACCCAACCAACAGAGGGCAAGCAAGACTTTCAGCACCCAAAACTTTCCAGGGAAGGGGTTTGTTCCCCTGCTGCTTGTGTGCATTCAAGTGCTTTCAGTTTCATGTTTGAGGTGGTTTAATTATGCACAAAAGGAATCAAAATTTTCCATCAGAATTGCAACAAGTGGCTCACAGTAAAGTAAGCTAGTGGCTGTCACAAAACCAGGCTCCATCTGGAGTCACCAGCGTGGGAGAACCTGTGTGCTGTGACACCTGTGCAACATGACAGGAGCCACAGGAGCTTCCAAAAACTGCTGAAAGCCAGGAGGTATCCGCAAAAAAGAGCTCTTTCAGAGCTGCTGTGGGGAGGACTTAAACTAATACTGCTGCTGGCTTGGGGTAAGGAAGGGAAGTACCCTGAGGAGGGGCTCAGGGCCCTGGTCCTTGGCTTCCTGATCACTGGAATGGAGAAGAGGATGGGTTTCTTTCTTCTACAAAAGCATTTTGGGTGGCCCCACCAACCTATTATTCCCTATGGAAGCTGCTTCTCCCAGCTTGCCACCTCACTCCTGCGTTCTCCAGCAGAACGGACAAGGTTTCTCCAGACCTCTGTTCCCATTCTTACACAAGCAGAGATTTTACTGGGTAATTGATATTTTTATAAGTACTCAGCTCTTAATGAGGGCAGTTAAAGCAGTTTGGCTGATGTTTCCAGAATTGCAAAGGAAGAAGAACCATTTCCTTATAATCCATCACCTTGGGAATAGGGTTCACCTTGGAAAAGCACTTGTCCTGCTGTGACTCTCTGGCTGCCACTCATCCTCTGATTTACACTTCCTGCTGACTTTGAGAAGAAATGGCAAACAGCTCTAGAGAAAAGCAGAAAACACTAGAAGGCAGATGTGTTTCTGGGGGAAATTGTCATCAGCAAGACTTGTGGGGAGAAATGGGAATGGTGCAGAGGAGCCAAGTGCTTGGTGACCAAGCAAAAGACAAAGGGAACGTGGTGAGGCACACGGCTGGACGTTCACGTCTGCAGATTAAGAGATGAATAATAAAGTCATAAAGCGGCTCTCAGGCAAAATAGAGCAAAACCAGAGGTAGCTGAGCCATAATAGGTCATCAGTTTGGAATGCCAGGAGGGCTGGACATGAAAGATGGGAAAATAATTTATATGCTCATTATTATTTTTTTTAATTGTCATCTAAAATTCTGCATTATGGGCTGAAGACTTCTGCGCAAGAAGGATGAGGACAGGGCTGGGGACAGATGCCCGTTCTCTTTGGGTCACTAGATGGCACAATTCTGGCTCTTTTCTTCCTTGCTCAAAGGCGTTTTACAGCAGGAACCCAGCAACTACAGGGAGAAAATAGTTCTTGCTGCCGTAACGGCGGCTGGACTGAGAATTTCAGTCATTAATCACTTGCCCACAATATTTAACAGATGCAGAAGAGCAAACTGTGGGGGTCCAGCCCCAGCTGAGAGAGAAAACCTTGCATTCTTGGTGGAATTGTACTTTTCTCTCCTGGAAAGTTTAGGAAATGACTCTAAGTACGTGTGTCTGAGCTGAGGCAAAGTCTTCAGCTGCTGAAGATGCATTGCTGCAGGTGTGCACTGCGGTCTGAGCTCTTTAGCTACCAGCAAAGGTCTAGGCAGCCTCCAAAATCAATCCCCCATGCCCAAGGGCTGGTCCTATTTGTCCTGCTGCCTTTTGTGTGTCCTTGCAGGAGAGCAGTGATTCCTTCACAGGAGTCAAAGCAGGTCACTCGGCAAAACACCTCCTGAGCAAAGCCTGGATGCGGGTTAGAGACACAGCCCCCAAAGGCAATTGTGTTTATTATATCCCACTGATGTTACAGCGTGTAAGAAAAACACAGTTCTGCACTGCTGCTCCTGTCTACTGGAAATAATTGTTCAGATCCACTGAATTCACACCAAAATCACATGGCAATGTCTGTGAAAAGGCAGGAAATCCATATCCTGGGAAACACTGATGCAGCTGCAGGAGGAGATAGCTTAGTTCACAAGGTCACAGTAAGAGTGAGCACTAATTACAGCTGGAGATGTTAAAAGCCCTCATGAGCAAGGCTGATCGAAGCAGGGAGGGGACCAGATGCTGCCGGCAGAAAAGGACAGCAATTGCAGGTGTCATTTTTTTAATGTCCCTCACTTGCCTGTATCAAAATGGGAAATCAATAGTTATCTGTAAGGCATGGAATCAACTTAGCAAAGATCTTACCTAAACACTTTACTGTTTTCCATAACCTGCAACCAGCCCTGGCAGAGTGCACAGAGATGTCAGGGGAGAGGACAACTGAGAGCCTCAGTTCAAGGAAGCACCCTGGGGCAGGCACACAGGCAGGAAAAGTGCTACTCCCAGCTCTCAGCTAAATCCCTGACTCTCCCTATGCCCTGGGAAATGAAGACACAGGTGCCCAAACATAGAAAAATGCCCCTTGTAAGCTAGTGAAAATATGGAGGAACCTAAAAAGCTGTTGGAACTGATGGATTAAATGTTGGGCCTCAGCTCAGCTGGAAATTGCAATTGAGCAAAAAGCCTTGGTAAGCAATCAATGGGCATCAGGAGGGGAAAATCAGCCTATTGTCATTCCTAGTGAGCTGCTGCTGAATGGAATGCAGGTAGGTATTAAGGAAATACCTTAATAACTGAGCTCACCTGATACATCTTTAGCCTTAGGGACTGGTTGTGATTTTGAAAGAATAAATAAGTCCTGTTTACCTTCTGGGAGGTTTCTTGCTAATGAATACATAATTAAACTAGAACAGATCTGCATTGTGACCTGATAATGAGCTAATGAGGAGTGAATCCTGCAGTCATGAAACCAGTGTCAGTATTAAATCAAACAGGGATTAACAATTAAATATTAACAGCTGATCAAAACATCAGCTAGACTGTCAGCAGAATTTGAATAATGAAGCAATGCAGTACTGGACTGGTTACAAAACATTAACCTAGCAAAACTGAGAGTTGCTGTGACCTTTTCCTGGTCCTCTTGTGCAGGAGATAGGTCCTCAAAACCTACCATAGAGTTTGGCTAGAATAGAAGTATGATTAAGGAATCAGATACTGAAGAAGAGAGTCTCACAAGTGTTGATGCAACATTCTTGATATGCAAAGACTATTTGTATATAAATTCTTTGTGTGTGAAGTGTATTTCAGGAGGATGAGTTAAGGTAGTATTTGTGCTCTCTTTGTATACCCCAAGGAGGAACACAGGGCTGGAGGGACCAAAGAAACTAATTCTTAATATTCACCCCTGATCAGGGCATAGACCTTCAGTGCCCACTGAGCCACTGCTTGGTGTGACCCACGTGTTGTAAGCCACAAAACAGCTCCCACCACCTTAAAACAAACTGAAGACCATTTAGGACAAAGGCCCAGAATTCTCCTCAATCACTGAACAGGAGAAATCAGTGATCTGAGATTTGTAATTACACCTGCATTTCTTCTCTGCTAAACAAGAAATAAATCTTCACGGCCAGAAATAACCTTTGTGCTCAGAAACAGCTATGGAAAGCAGCAGCAAGAGGCTGGCAGGCATCCCTGAGTGTGTGTGGGGAGGGACAATGTGCTGGTTGCATCGGCTGGGGAGTTTTTGATTCAGAGTTGATGGTGTCTTTGCTGGGTACCTCCTCCCCAGGAGCATCTCTGAGCTGGGTGAGCTGGGCTGAGGCTGCCTGCAGCATCTCTCCTCCCTCGGGGAGGCTGAGGGAGCATTTGCCTCTCTGGGCAGGAGAGGGGATGTGGGCAGTGGAGCAGTCACTGAACACAGCTCTGCCTCTGGGGTATGTTCACCCTCCATCTCCTTCCCACTGTGTCTCTGAAGGAGCAGGGCAGCTGGGACACAGGCCAGGAAGCAGACCCAAAAATGTTCCCAGATTTTCCCTGCCCTGGCAGAGGATATCAGCAGTGTCAGCTCTCCTGCCCCAAAGACCCACAGAAAACACATTTCTGATGGGGCTGTAAAAAAGGTTTTTAAAAAAAAAAAAAAAAAAAAGAAAAAAAGAAACAACCACCAAGCTCTGAATGCAGTTTCCTGCAATAACAGACAAAAATTCCTGTCACCTCCAGATCTCTTTGTGCATTCTTGGTACAATCTGTGAATTCAGCACATCGCTCATAACTCTTGTACTCGTTGTCTCTCAGGACCTTGTAAAAAAGCCTCCATCACCCCTCCTACTGTGTTTACATCTGTTTGATATAGCTCATCTGTTGGCAGTAACCTGCTCTCGGTTTGGCTGACATAAACGTCTGCCAGCCCAAGCAGCACGAGCTCTGCAGGCACGAACTCTGCAGGCACGAGCCTCCCTTGCCTGGGCAGCAGAGCTGCCACCAGGGCTCTTGCTGAGCTGGTTGTGCTGTGCTCTGAGCCCTGTGGAGCTGCCTGGGCCCTCAGCAGAGCCATATGGACCTGCTGTTGTCCTGTCTGCTCCAGGCCCTGGGTGCTTCTTGCTTGGAGCCATGTCAGGGCTGGGTTGTGTTTGGGCTTTGCTCAGCTCTGTGCTGCAGCACAAGGTACTGCTTCCAGGGTAACCCATCAGAGGACTCAGCCCTATGTTTTCCATCTTAGGAGTTATCAGAAGTGCTGCTTGAGATACAGCTCACTCCAACCTCAGCCAGCCCATCTGCCTCTGCCCACATAACATAAAGTTTCACTTCATACTGTCTGGGAGAAGGAAATCCAGCCTCCCCCCCAAGCAGTCCATGGAGGAAGCCTACCTCTGGTAGTGCTTCAGCTCCCACAGCTGTGCACACCCAGCTGAGACTCCAGCTTTGTTTCTCCACTGCCCCATAGCAGGTAAATCTCTGTGCTGGGAGAATTTTCTCAACCCTCAGTGGCTGTGATATGGTGTGGTGCCCATGGTCAGAAAGGACTGAATTTGGACAGTTCCTACCAACCCTAAGAAAACTCTGTTGCAGCTTCTCTCTCTGTTACAGGCATGAAAATATGTTCACATCCATCCTTAGGGAACATGTTAAGCCATACAGGGGTTTTCCTCCCCCACCCTAGTGAAGACCTGGCTGATGCCCTAACCTCATTCAGCCTATGGCAGCCTGGATTGCAGCCAGGGACAGCAGTCCTGAACTAGGTTTAAATACCTTTTGATGGAAAGGGACAATAGATTTTAGTATCATTTATCCTAGCTTCTAGTTAATGTTATTGTAATGCACAAGTTCAGATTTTGGATCTTCACTGACTTTGCCCAAACAATGTTTTTATTAAGCAGAATGAAGCTGGCAATTTCCAGATTTCACTGAGTTTAGTAGTATACCTTTTAACACTGACTGAGAAGGACTGTATTTTTCAGGGAAGAATGCACCTGCATTTACAATCTTTTCTCAGTGCAGACTCATGGACCAAAGAGAGGGTCACATATTTAACACAGCTCTTATCTCTTGAAAAGCTCCCCAGCTGCCTGTAAGAGGGCCAGGCCGCCCTACTGAGTGCGCAGGGTCCAGATGTTGGTCAGGCAGTCAGTCCCTCCCTTGGCCAGGATTTTCTCCTTTGTACACTCTGTTGGCACATTGCCAGCCATGGAACAGATCCATCTTGCAGTTTGGGGGTCTTCATGCAGAACACTGGGGTCTGATTCAGGAATAGCTGATTTATCTCACTTCCACCAATAGCATTGAGACAAATGCTGAAAAGAGTTTGTGTTGGTTATTTCAGTCTGTGCTTATACAAGTGGTCTCAGCACCCAAGTCAAGAGGATTCCAGTAAGCAGGATTTTCTCAGAATTTACTTTCTTGGAGGAAAGGTATTTTGAAGCTCTCATAATGCAAATATCGTAGCATACGGTAGATTCTTGAAATTCAACTGCATCTGTATCACAACCACAAGAGCTTGAGTCTCTGTGCAATCCACTACAAATTAAAGCAGAGCTCTTTCTGGAGCACTTACCTCCTCCTCACACCCTTGTGTCCACCGCATACATTTTGGAGGTGGCTGTTTGTGAGGATGGCAAATGCACGTTTGTTACGACGGTCGCAGCTGAGGAATAGCCTTTCCTCAAGGAGTAGGCAGAATGGAATCTTCCAGAACTGGTCTCTGTGAGGCACAGGGAGAGAAATAGGAACTGCTAATGAGTGCTCGGTGACTTTCAGCTGCAAAGTTTCATTATTCAGGGAAAGCAGCACTCCAAGATGTGATATAATAACAACACAATTTATGTCATCCTGGCACCTCAGCTCCCACATGAAGACCTTGATGTGCTTTCTAGAGCTGCCTAAGACTATTCCCATTTTACAGCTGAAAATATCACCACTGGAGATGAGCAACCATGCCAAAGGACTTTCCCCACCCTGTGCACCTGTAGCACGCCCTGAGCAATGCCTCTGTCCCTGAGCTGTGCCTCAGCCGTGCTTCCTCACCTCTGAAGAGATACATGCAGCAGGTGAGCAGGGACCCAGACAAGAAGCAGCCGAGTGACCCCGCCATGCCAAGCCAGCAGGACCAACCAAACTTGTACTGGATGCCCAGGAACACGTTGTGGAAGAGCAGAGAGGAGCGCTCCACGTAGACATCCACGGCGTACCACACGGAGCCCGTGATGCCAGGGAGACCTGCAGAGAGGTGCCACACTCAGAACCATGGCGGAGCAGATCTAAAGCTGTAGCTGCCGTCTGCTGGGGCAGACTTCAGGGTGGGAACACCTTCCTGGGATGGCAGGTTTTGGTCCCCTTCCATGCTCTGTCTTTGGTGGATTCACCCTGGCTCCTGCTGGTATCCTGTGCTGCCAGGCAGAGGCTGCACCTCTTGGCTTGGCACTCTCCCATATTTCCAGCACACTGGCAGCACTCAGGTTTCTGCAGCAAAAGGCAAGAAGATCCTTCCCTCCCAGATGCTTGTAAAGTTGTCTCCAGAATTCAATTTTCTGATCTGTTTTGATTTTCAGAACTTTGATGATGCTTTTCAGACAAAATTTGAGAAGTGAATTGGAAGATGTTTAAAAGAGCCTCTCGACATGTTTTACATGTGCTCCCAGTGGCTGGGGTGAGTTATTAAATCTGCTTAGACTGAATAAGAGGTAGCTGCATGATATTGGCATAAAGTCAAATTATGTTATTTGGTACCTAGTTGGCTATTTATTTTTGTGTTTAAAATTCTCCTACTGGCTGTAACAGCAAAGCACCTCAGCCAGTTGGGTATTTATCACCTAGAAGGGACAGACGTGTTATTATCCTTTTATTAGCGATCAGCTGCAGAGATTTTGGGCTAAGTGACTTGCCCAAGGTCACACAATCTGTGGCAGAGCCAGGAACCAAACCAAGATGCCAGGACTTTCTAGTCTTTCAGCAATTGGTCTAGAGACCTACAGCAAGGTCTCTTTGCTCTATGAACAACTTCAACTGTTCCACAGTGAAATAGCAATAAATGGAAGTCAGTCAACTCAAAGCCAACTCACCTGGTCAAAACATGAACTGAAAGCAGATAAACTCAACTACATGTTTGAGGCAGGTGGTGAACAGAAGAAGCTGCATTACACAAATAAATTAAATGAAGACCCTTCCTCCTTCAGAAAATCACCAGCCAAAATAAAAGAAGGCTTTTAGCTTCCCCACTTTGCTAAAGGGTGTCCTACAGAATGGGGACACAGTGGGGAAATACCTGCAAGGAGCAACATAACCCCAGACACCAGGCAGATGCGCAGCTTGATGAGCGGCTCATCGGGAAGGAATTTCACACAATCCAGTCCCAGGACCAGGAAGAGAAATCCAAATCCTGACAGGAGGTCTGCTGTTATCATCATGGCTCGGGTCAGCACCAGTTTCACTGCAGGACAAAAGCAGATCATTCCAGTGCACAAGGAATGGAAATGTGGGCAGCTTATGGGGTCAGATCCCACAGGAATGTTTTTTTTTCTGGTTCAGCTTTTTTCAGCTTACCTTGGGAGTAACACCTGACTGAGAAAAGAAACATGCCTCTAATTATCTGTCACTGAGTAGAACAGATACTCTTAGTCTACATTCAAGTGTCCCCACCACTTGCAGAAACATCTCTGACTCTTACATACCGGAATGCTCGGCGTAGATGGAGTCGTACTCATCACAAGTTTGGATCCCATCAAAAACGTTTGTGACACATTCCCACCACAGGCCACGGCATTTTGTACTCACCTGTGGATTGAGAGGACAAAAAAGATCATAGGTTAAAATATCCAACGCAGCAGGTGGCTGTCTTAGCCCTTCAATAGAAATCCTGGTCCAGTTACAATGATGGTAAACCAGAGTGTTTAGCTTGAAGAGAAAATGCAGAAGCATGGAGGAAAAGGACAATGTTTTCTACATCCCTACTAATGTTCTTACATTAGAGCAAAATAATTCAGACTAGACATTAGGAAAAAAACCCTTGCCTACTAGTAAGGATAAAAATTTTTGAGGAAATTTCTGGGAGGAGCTGGGGGGTGGCTGACCAGAAAGATCTAAGAGCAGGTTTGCTCACTCATTGCCAAACTCTTGTCTAGGCTGAGCTGGGCAGGGCCATGGACCAGACAACCTGAGATTTTGCTGCCTGTGCTCCCCTTCCTTTCACCATCCTCCTGACAGAGGAGGGGCAGCTCAGAGAGTGGGAGTGCAGAGGAGTCTGGATGCGAGCCCCTCTGCAGACACCTGGGGAGGGCTGCCCCCAGATGACTCAGCTGTAAACACTGGCTGGAAAACCAGAGGCAGCCGGTGCTGATCCCGACCCTGGGGCTCCCGCTGTGCTGCCAGCCGTGGGACCACGCGTGCCCAAGCCACAGTCATCACTGAGACATCCAGACTGGGGCAGAGCAGCATCGTGGTTAATCGTCTCCGCTGTCCTCGAGCCGTAGATACCATTCCCAGCCCAGCCTTCCATAAATCACTTTAATATGGGAGGCGTTTCCATTACCAATGCAAATATGGCAACAAGCACCTTTAAATTATTCCTGGAATTGCTCATACGAGGAGCAGAGTTAATGTCGGTGCAGCTTTGGACTCCAGCCCGCCCACTTCTGCCAGCGACACCCGCTGCAGTTAATGGAAAGAGAAACTTCCAGCAGATGAGTTTCACGCAGGGGAAGGGGACCAGGCTTGCTTGGATGATGCCATAAATTAATTTTTCTTGCACTGTGTAAATCACAAAGCAGATAATAACATATCTTGGACACATAATAAAGTCTTATTCAGGATGTACTGAGGTCTGTAGCCAACTGTAATATTTTCTCCACAACACAATATCTGAGCCAAGCTGTGCACCGCCTCTGTGATACTGCTGTCTGGATCAAAGGTGAGGAAAAATGACTCGCTACTTCAGACTGGCAGAAGACATACTATTTGTATTTGAATGAAAATAATCTACATGTTTTGTTTCATGAAGATGAGAAGTGCTTAATGTTTCTGAGAATTTCAGAGCATATTTAATGAAAAATATGATGAAAAATGAGAAGCAGTAATGGAAGAAACTAATTTCATTGATTCTGTGCTTTTCAAGAGAACAGAGTCTTGTAAAACAATTTGCCATGTTTACATTCAATGTATTTTTACCATGGCCCTCTTAATGCAGTTGCAGGTCCTCTTCTGTCTTAATTCACCACTGTTCAGGCTGTGCTTGAAAGTAGCATATTTTTATTAAATTACATTTTGTTCCGCTTGTGTTTCTCTTTCCTCCCAAACCACCATAGGCTTATTTATACTACTCTGCATTCAGCTAATCATGTCACTTACTTCCTCACTTGCTGATATTATTACTGTTTTTTAAATCTTACAAGCAGCATCTATATCTAAATTATTTATAAGGAGACTAACAGGATTCCAGGCTTTGTCACCCTCCAAGCAAAACAGAGGTCTTAAGCACAACAGTTATGGTCTAGCTTGTGAAATAACCCCCTTCCCAGACTAACAAAAGCTTGTTTAATGCTTCCCGTTTCTTGGGATATTTCAGTTGTCACTACTCCTACTACAGCCAGCATGGGCAAAGCGGGAGGCAGCCCATTTCTACACAGCCTGTGTGCAGGCAGCCCATTTCTACACAGCCTGTGTGCAGCCAGGGATAATAGTCCTATTGCCTGGTGCAGGAGGGATAGGAACAGGTGTCACTGTGGGGACCTGTGGCTGCCCTGAGCTGCTGCTGAGCTATTCTGGTTTCTGCTGCCAAGGGCCAACACGTGCTCCCCTCTGCTTTGTGCACTGTTGATCCTCCTGGTTGTTAATCTGCTCCCAAGCCACCCTTGAGCATCTTCCCTTGTGCTGACAGCACAGACCTTCAGGCACACGGGAACTCGCTGCTGCAAAGGGGACAGGGGTCAGGGCATGGGGCACCATGTGGGGACATGGATTTCCTCATCCCATGGCTGGACTTCTGCACCATGTTGGTAGCACTAATTCCCCATCACCTCTCTCCCCCTATAGCAGGTTTGCTCCAGCTTCCTCGGTCCCAGCTGAGGACTCCCAGAGCAGCCAAACATCACAGCCACGCTCCTCATCCCCCACTCTGATTGCGAAACACATTGCCACGACCTGCTTTCCCTAACACAAGTATGCATGTAAAACATGAACTGCATAATGACTGTAATATAGATAATTATATCCTATTCATAATGTATAATTAATATTAAAATAATTCTCATACAGAAAAAAAAGGAAAATTACAGAACACACACTCTCCTTCTGGGGAAAGCGGAGAAGACAAACATGTAAGCGATGTTAGTCACAGTGTTGTACCGCACTCTGAGAAGGTGCCAGCAGACAATGATTACAAGCCCAGCTTGAGAGTAAAACAGGCAGCATTTAACAGTAGTGGCGGTATTTATAATCCACCTGCAACAGGGAGGGACTGTCTACACAATACAGCACTCGTTGAGAAGCAGATTATGGGCTTTTTCCACTACAAATTACGGCAAAAATTGACCCAGCCCTGTCTTGATGCTTCACAGAGAGTCACTAACTTAAACACCTTTCTTTAACCTGTTGTTTCTCAAGGGAGGTGAGGGGCTGTAAAAGCTGAGTCAGGGCCCCTGCAGCCTCTCTGGAGGTGGCTGCTCCCCGGCCTCTTCTTCCTGGGATGCTCCTCTCCAGTGGGACCACAGTGAGGGCTTCATCCTCCCCAGCTGCGGGGGGCCAGGGTCAAAGCCAAGCAACCTGCCAAGATCCAGCAGCTGCGGAAGGATGGAGCTCCCTTCTCCTGGAGCCAAAGTTGCCTAACTTACCCTTTTTCCAGCTGAAAACAGGAGTCATTGCGGACTCTAGCCTTTCTGGCCGTGGACATTCCCCTGTTTAGAGAGGCAGTGAGTCATTAGGGTCATTAAGATCAGTGGTCAGGTATTAAGGCTGGGGGCGTTTTACTCCATTATTTAGTATTCACACTCAGAGCCGGAATGTGAGAATAGTGGTTGCTAATGACCAAACTGGGTGTTAATGGAGCACTTCGGACAGCCCATCGCAGGTGTGCCTTTGCGCCAGGAAGACAAGGTTACGCAGCCTCAGGGTAATGGACCAGCTCTTTAGTGGACTCACTTTGCTCAGGAGCTGGGCTTCTATCATCTGGTTTTCCCCACAACTGGACTTCTTTGGCTCTTCTGAGTATACTGATATACCTTCATCTGAGTACTTCCTGATAGGAATCTGAAATATCTCCCAAATGAAGAGTCACATCCCATCCAGCATCACTCGGTGCACTCTTTGTCCTGAAAAGAGGCTCACTGAGCAGACACGCTGACCACCAGGAACTGCACTGCCTTGGATCATCATCTCGGCACTTACATCCACCTTTCAGGGTTTCTCACAGTCAGAGAGTCAGGATTTCATGTGGCATAGAGGGGGAAAAAATGTTTTTCTCGTAATTAGTTTTAGCCTTCTTTCCTTGGATAATTCACCTCTTCACATGCTGCAGCTAAATGCTGCATTGCAATCACTGGGTGCAGAGGAGCTCATGGTTTCATATGCTGGATAGTAGATAGAAAGTTTCCTCCTGATACATTCAGACAAACTTTCTGTCCTGGAAGGTGTTTCACCTTCACTGCCTAAAGGATCCAATTTGCCAGACAGCAGATTCCTACACTGTGGACCTGCAGCTTAAATGTACAGAAATGAATGGCTGTGCTGGGAAGAAAATTTTAAATATGCAGTACTGAGTGCTGGAGAAACAGTGATGATTTTGGACCTGGAGTCTTTGGGGCACACCTTGACTGTAAGCAGCAATCTGCTCCCTTGTTTGCAATTACCTTTTGCCAATACCTTTCTCTAATATGAGAGTGCTACTGTCCACATGAGTTCCAGGACATATTGAGTCCCCATGCTCCCCTTAAATTTCTGGTAGCCCTGTAGCTCAATGGCTGGTCAGAAAAAGATTTGAAGAGCACAGTTGTACATGCTGGATGTCTCCACCAAGAAGACTGAACTACAGAACTAGAAACATATTCAAAATATCCAAGCAGGTTGGAGGTACAGGATAACTCTTCTCAAGTTCATGCACATTTAAAACTAGAGCCTGTAGATCTTTCCTGAACTTACTAAGAGCGAGCACAGTCTGGATAGAAAAAAGTCTGGCAAAGAGAATTTCACAAAATGCCACTTTTCTCCTGCTCTTGCCACAGTAATTATTTTCATTCTCATCCACTTTCATCCAGCACAACAGGGAGAAAGAGCATGAGAGTGGAGTGGAGCAATGATACCAGGAACAAACTCTCTCTAGCACACATTGGATTTGGTGATCGGGCTCTCCTCATCCCAGTCTTACCTCCAGAGAGTCATCAGCATTCACCATCCAGCAGTCTGTCCAGGTAGATATTATCAAAAACGCAGCAGAGAAAAAAGCAAAAAAGAAGCCCACATATTGGAGGAAAAACTTCATGCCAGCAGGTGCTCAGCACATCCAGGGGAGTGCAAACAACAGCGCCCAGCCTTGCTCCTATAGCCAGGGTAGAGACAGTGTCAGTGTCCCAGATGCCCAGCAGCGCCCAGGAAGAGCAGGACCTCCTCTCTGGTGCAGGTGCCATCTGGTAGTGATGGCTGCGGGGCAGTGCTCACCTGCCAGGATCAGGAGGAGGGCGAGAGCGCCCACGGGAGCTGCTGCAGCCAATCCGCCCTGCACCGCTGCAGCTCTTGTCATGCCTGACTGAAGAGAAATGGGGCTGTGCAGAAGGGACATGCAGGTAACTGCAGCCCTGGGCTGCCAGGGGAGGCAGGTATCATGGAAGGTTTTGTCAAAATAGGGATTAGAAAAAAGAATCAAAAATTGTTCTCCAGGGCAGAAGTCTTGAGCCTTGCTGAGGGACACAGAGAGGAGCTCTTATGTGCACACATAAGTGTAGATCCCAGGCCCCTTGGTTGTTACCCTGTTGGTCTCTGGTGCAGTGATGATCTAGTTCAATGCAGAAATGTCACCAGGGAGGAAAAGGAAAAGGCAGCAGTCATGGGCCTTCAGAACCAACATCCACCCCATCCCAGACACAGAATTCCATATTCTCAATTTAAGTCAAAACTTGATACCCCTCATGCCCTAGGCCTCAATTTCTCCATGGCATGAGTACAACTCCCATGTGGAAATCTTGAAGTTTTCAGACTAGTGTCAGTCTGGAGGATTTCAGCTGGTTGGAATTTCCCTGCTTGCTTACTCTGATTGCAAACTTCTGTTTTCCTGCTGAACTCCACAGGTGAGTAGGGGTCACACAGGCTGCCAGAGGTAGAAGGCTGGGGACTCTGTAAGAGGCTTCTCAATATCTCCTCTCGTGCAGTGCTGAGAAACCCATCAGGGCACCCTTCAGGAAAACCAAAGGGGAGTGGGACTAGAAATTCCTCCCACCCCAAAGGCACAAAAGTACAGAAACCATCGCATCCTCAATGATCATTGATTTTTAATTTAAAGAGAAGCAGTAAGAGGCTGAAGACCTGCCTTGAATGGGCAAATATTCAACACAGGGCAGAGGAGCAGCTTCTTGCTGTGCATACAGCTTTGCTTCCAGCTGCTTGCCCAGGCTGGCGGTGTCTGTCATCTGAGCTGTCACCTCCAGATGGAGCCAAGTGGCACCTTTACAGCACTGCTCAAAGCTTCTGCTTCTCCGGGATTCCCCTTCAAATACCACAGCAATGAGAAGTTTATTCTTACAATAGATAACCCGCATAATTCCAATCATAGCCTCATAAGGCGGTTTTGCTGACAGAGATCACAACTTTTACCCTCGATGCCAGGCTCACTCCACTCCTCAGAGGTCACCCTGTGGAACAGGTCCTCAGCACATGCTTTGAGAGGCTGAAGTGGAGAACAAAACTCCCAGGGTATGCAGGAGGCTCTGCTGCTTCAGCTTTCTGCTTTCTGTTTCCTAATTCCAATTGTAGAAGCTGAAAAGTGAGGAACTTTTTTTTTTCCATCTTTCCCAGATGCAAGTCTTGATGTGGTTATGTGGATATGATGCTTTCTGCTGAGTTTTCTGGTATCCAAATGTCTGGATAAGTCAAAGAAACCTTCATGATTTTCACTTCATGGCTTTTTCTGTGTTGTGTTTTCAACAGTTCTGACCCATGGGGACACGGCAGTGGCCACACAGGTCCCATAAAGGATCACGACTTTCATTAGCATATATATGTATACAGATTACATTTGTCTGATACGGGTACTAAAAATAGACATCAGCTTCTTATACTTGTCTTGTTCTGAATTCATTAACCTCTCTCTGCACCCATTTTTAAAAAGCATCCTAGTCAGTTGTTATTACTGGCAACTCAGAAAAAGTGGTGTGGTGAGCTAGAAAAGGCTTGAAAAATCTGAGACAGCCTTCCCACAATCAGCATTAATTCCTTATCAGTGTCAGGACCAGAGTTTAACAGCAACAGAGCCTGGATTAACCAGGAAATGTATTACAGCCATATATGAAATATATTATAGCCATTGCCCTCTCCTTCTGTCCTGTACCCAAATGCAAGCCACTTTCAGAGAGGATAAGTCAAGTGGAAAGAAAGGGGACATTTTCTCTTATTTGGTGCATGGTGGAAGTGTCTCAATACAAGCATGACAGAGGTGGAGAGTGAAAATCTCCCATGCTAATAGCCAGAGAGGTGTTTGTAACCTTTTGTGCTGGGCACATTGTACTCTCTTCTTCCAGCCCATCCCAAGAAATGCCCATGGATATCAGACCAAGAGGCAATGTTGGACCAAGAGGCAAACTCCACCAAGGGGTGGAGGCAGCATGTGAGGCACCAGCGCTGCCTGTGCTTCACTCCATCTCCCCACAGCTGTTATTGTAGTCCTGGTGATGTCTTGTTTATTTTCCGCATGCCCAGCAATGTGTTGCTGTCCCAGCTCCTTCCACCTCCCTGTGCTCACCTTCCCTGCAGGGCAGGGCAGGTGAGTGACCCTTCCTAGAGCAGGATGCCAGTGCTTCCCTGGCCATGAGTCACTGGGGGCAGGAAGTGGCTCCAGCCATTTGCATCTAGCTTGGGGCTCTGGAGCATCCTGGCCTGGACAGCAGAGCAGGTCAGGATCCTTCCGTTTTCCCTGTGTAAGGCTGCTCCAGAGTGTGCAACACCATGAAGATGGTTCGTGGCTTTTCACCTGCTGGAGAGACCAATCCAATATCTGGTCCTTCTTTAGGTCTATGTCTTCAAACACACCTATAGAATCTGCTGTAGTTACTAGAAAGAATACAATATTCTTTATTTAGTAGAAAATGGCAAGGTACATGTTTGATATTCTTTATTTAGAGCAAGTAAACATCTTCTTGAAGCAAAGTCTGTACCAGTTTCTCATCGTGGTCTGCTTTCCTAACTTGCATGACAGATGTCCCCTCAGCTTCAGAAAACAGCTCTCCCAAAATATCCTCCCACGATGTCTTTGTATAGCCCAAAACCTGGCTGACATGACTCAGAGTAGCTTTCCAATCAATTTGTAGGCTGTACTACATGTGCTAACTGTGCTTTGACACTAATAAAAGCATTAGGGTATCCTAATATTTGATTGTCAGAGCTTGGCCTTGTCAGGCTCTTGCTCTGTGTGGTATTGATGCAGCAGAACTTTGCTAATGTAAGAGTTTTATCACCTTGACTACACTCAGTCCCAGCTCAGGGACAAATGCACCATGGGTCGATTGCTTTTATTACTCATTAACACAAGGTGGTCTGTGCTCTCCGTTAAAGCCAAGCTATTTATGTTAGAGAAAGAGAAACTACGGCCACTCTTGGGAGGTGGTTGTCACCAGTCTACTGACAAAACCATTTTTGCAGCAACACCCCACTGAGGTTGCAGCCCAGTGAGCACAGAAGGGTGCTGTTCCGCCTTCACTTCCTCAGTGTCTAATATGCAGTGTAGCAGAGGGCCTGGAGCAAGAAGGAAGTGGTGATGCTGTGCGTTCGTGCATGGAACACAGACCTCTCTGCACACACGCAACAGCCCATGATGTGACTCCTGTTCAGGGCCAGGAGCTTGTCCAGCAGGAAGGGCTGAGGAGTCAGAGGTGATGGAGAGCTTTGGAAGGGGTTTCCCTAGGAGCTCTTCTGCTCCTTGGGCGTGTCTGCCCAACCCTTCCAGCTCCTCCCTCCTTGTTGTACCGCCTCCCTTTTCCTGCTTCACACACCATCATCCATGGCCTCAAAGTGTGTTCAGCTCCAGAGCAGTGCTCCTGGGATGTGAGATGTGTACACAAATTACAGAGCAGTGTGTAATGTACCCCTTCAGCCACGCTCATACAGCCACAAAACCTTGGGATTTAGCTTGGCTTTAGCTCAGTAACCCCAAGCAGAATAGTAAGACTTCTGAGCAGCCTATGATTTTTCAAGCAGGCAATATACAGGATTAAAGGAAAACAGGAAAGGAAAGGCATGTTCTGGTAAATGAGAGCTTAAAGGATTGGTAAGTAAAAACTGTGTTTGTACGTGTGTGTGTGTCTGCATATTATACACACAGATATGATGCTTGCACACACTCATTTAAAACAGCCTTTTCAGGCACTACAAAGCAATAAATGCTAAAACAAGCATTTCATTACAGTCTTTTCAGGTTCTCAAAGTACCATGTTCTCCTCAGTACAATAAATTTATTATGGCTGCCTATGAAACCCCACTCCTGAGAATCACATAATCTCAATGATGTATGACTAACCCCACTTTAGAGCTGGGGAAAACGCGGCCCTGACTAAGTGCCTTTAGATCGAGAGCGAGGAGTCCTGCTCCTCTTTAGCACCGGGGCAGGACTCCCTGCCTGGGCGTGGGAAGATCCCTATCAGTGAAAACGTGTGTGACCACTCGGCTTTCCTGGGAGCCGCCAGAGAATACGCGCTGCCCGTCACTGCATACCAGCTCCACGCAGGTGTGTTTTGGCAGAGGAGCTGGGTAGTGGATCAGACACACCTTTCCTCGGCATGTCACAAGTTCCAGTCCACAGCCCTCGTCCCCAGGCACCTCGGGGGTTGTTGATGCCCTGCCACATCCCTGCGGCGTCATCCTCATCCGAGCGTGCCTTTCCCAGCATGAGCCTGAACTTTCCCGTGCGCCGATACCAGGGTGATTAAACGCAAGTGTAGCACAGCCTCTGTGCCACTACTAGCAATCGTGCAGGAAGGGGAGGGAGAGCAGCGTGGGCATTCAGCACTCTCCAGAGTACCAGAGAAAAGCAAGGAGAAAGGTGCCGCGGTGGAAGGGGTCTGTGTCGTGCCCGTGCTCGGGCGGCTCCTCAGGGACACCTTAGCAGGGGAGGGGCCGTAGGTGCGCTTGGCCCTGCAGGGCTCTCCTGGTTGGAATCCAGCCCCCCCTGTGACTCACTTCACAGGAAACATCCGCTTCAGACCTCCGTGCCTCTCGCTGATACTCACCAACCTGCTTATCAGAATGACGAAAGACCCTCTAGGAGACTCATCGAGAAAGGGA